CAGTTCTCTCTGTGCCCAGGGTGAAGTGACCCTTCTGTGGGTATTTATAGAGATCTGGGGGGCCCGGAAGACCCACACCAGCCATCGTATGCCGGCCGTGAAAGCCTTCGACAATACACAGAGGAGTTTTTGTAAGACCATTATATCTAGAGTTTAATATTATTTAACTTTAACTGGTTGTACATATAGAACCTTTTAAAAATGTAATTAAAATTGTTTTATATTTGTGAACAATCACTTGAACTAAACACCAGCATCACAGCAAGAAGGTAGAGCTCACAAACCTCTTTGAAGTTGTCAAAGGCAGCCAGAATAATGTCGTGCCCTCCTCGAACCAAACAAACAGCAGCCAACAGCTCAAGGACAAGAGCTTTAGTTCTGCAATGTAAAGGACAATGAGGGAAAAGATGTTACATTCTCCCAAAGATATTGGGGACTAAGAATGAACTCGGAAGAAGGTGATGGAGACCAGTGACTAGAGGCAAAGTCCCAAGAAAGTATAAACAGCTTGTGGATGAAATTAATCCAGGTGGTGAGCTGCATGGCTGTCTTCCCAGCAGCAGAAAGCCTGACCTGCTTGCTTGAGTCTTCTGCATCAGTTTACTTGAATTTAGATCTTTAGGACTAAACCTAATTTTTGCTTCTCAACTATGATTATATTGGTGGACTTTGGGCGTGCTTCTGCTTATACCAAGACAAATTTAGCTAAAGGTCCTTTAGGTAAAAGCACACAGGGAAGGAGAGTAATAGGATGAAGGACAACAAAGTCCCAAAATTGCAACCAGCATTTAGGGACAATCAGAGAACTTTAGAGGTATACACTCTGTACACTCCAGTAGACCCCTCAAGAGCTACTCTCTGTCTATATGGCCAGAGCATCTGTTCATATACTGTAGCAGGAAATTGCATTGCACCATTCCATAATGTGGTTAGCTTGTTTGTGGTTTAACATGTTATGTGAACAGCGTCAGTGTGGTTTGTAAACTGTGATTTAGGGATCAGCATGCGTGAACTCTACATTTGTAGCTTATTCAACAATCTTTGGTTAAAACAAATAATGGCTTAGGGAAATGTGTGAACTCAGCCGCTCGGCGGTTTATCATCCAAGTAGACGCGTCAGATGTGGCAACGGGGGCGGTCCTGCTCCAACCCAGCCCGGAGGGGGCCATCCGCCTGTGCGCCTACGCCTCCCGCAAATTCACGGAGACGGAGAGAAGGTGGATGGTGTGGGAGGCGTACGCAGTCAAGTGGGCACTAGCCACGTGGAGGCATCTATTGGAGGGGGCAGCCGAACCATTCGAGGTGTGGACGGACCACA